ATGTGAAAAGTAGTTTTCTCGATTATATTATGTAATGGATATTATGTGTTTGCAGTATTGAATCCTACTGCAATTAATAGTTACTTGTTTGGTATTGAAGCTTTGAGTGGAACTAATTTTAAGAAATGGAAGGAACAAATTGGAATTGTTTTGGGAATTATGGATTTAGACTATGCAATAAGAGAGCCAGCACCTACAAAGCCAAATGATACAAGTTCTAAGGAACACATGGCTTTATATGAAAAATGGGAACGCTCTAATCGCTTAAGTCTAATGATTATGAAAGGCTCAATTACGCCTGTAATTCAAGAAGCAATCCCTGTTTCTGAAAGTGCAGTGAGCTATATGAAAATCTATTGAAGAACAATTCATTAGAACTTCCAAATCCCTTGCTGGTACTCTCATGATTAAAATGATGACAATGAAATATAATGGTTTGAGTGGTGTTTGTGAACATATCTTAAAGATGAATGACATGGCTTTTCAATTAAAGGGAATGGACATGGAACTTTCTGGAAGTTTTCTTGTTCATTTCATTATGACTTCTCTTCCTACACAATTTGGTCCTTTCAAGATCAATTATAATACACAAAAGATAAGTGGAAGATGAGTGAGTTAATTGCCATGTGTATTCAAGAAGAAGAGAGGCTTAAAGTTGAAAAGCCTAATATAGCTCATCTTACCACCTTGGGTCCAACCAAAAAGATTTTCAAGAAAGGCAAAAGTAAGAAGAAGAATAATGCAAATGATGAAACTCACAAGGCTAATGAAGAAAATAAGATTCGATGTCATTTCTGTCGAAAGAAAGGTCACATAAGAAAAGACTGTCCAGGTTTTAAAAGTTGGTTGGACAAGAAAGGTAACACTTAATGCTTTGTGTCTTATGAATCCTTTTTGATAGATGTTCCACCAAATTCTTGGTGGATTGACACTGGTGTAAGTATTTACATAACAAATTCCATGCAAGGATACCTTACAAGTCGGAAACTAAATAAAGGAGAACGAACCATTACGGTTAGGAATGGAATTGAAGTGGACGCTGAGGCTATTGGCACCCTCCATCTAATTTTAGACTCTAGTTTCATTTTAGATTTAGTAAACACAGTTTATGTTCCTGTTTTTACTAGAAACCTAATTTCTATTTCACAACTTGATTTTTGTGGTTATGAATTTAAGTTTGGAAATAATAGAAACTTTCACCCAATCTCTCTCTGTCCTTCTCCATCCTTGTCTCTTTAGTTCTAGGAACTAATAGGCTTAGGAAACTAATTATTTCATTAGCTTAAGTGGCCAAGTTTAACTCAAACTAATCTTCCTTAGCCTCTAAGAAAGAGAATTTACTGAGTAACTGTAGTTTAACGATATTAGTTTAACTTAAGCACCTCATTTAAGATTTTCTAAATCACCTAAGTGTTCAATTCTTAAGTCCAAAAGGATGAATTTCAATTCCCTTTGATTTTCTTCCCATTTCTCTTTCTTTTCTCTAACTTTCTCTCCTAGCTCTCATGAAGAAAGTTTGTCTCTAACTCTTTCTGTCCTTCTCCATCATTCTCCCTTTTGTTCTAAGAACTAATTAACTTAGGCAACTAATTGTTTCATTAGCTTAAGTGGCCTCAAACTAGTCTTGCTGAACCTTTAAGAAAGAGAATTTACTGAGTAATTGTAGCTTAACGATATTAGTTCAACTTCAGCACCTCATTTAAGGTTTTTTTAAATCACCTAAGTGTTCAATTCTCAAGTCCAAAAGGATGAATTTGAATTCCCTTTGATTTTCTTCCTATTCTCTTTCTTTTCTCTAACTTTCGCTTCTAACTCTCAAGAAGAAAGTTTCTCTCTGACTCTCTTTGTTCTTCTCCATCTTTCTCCATTTTGTTTTAGGAACTAATTAGCCTAGCCAACTAATTGTTTCATTAGCTTAAGTGGCCAAGTTTAACTCAAACTAGTTTTGTTTAGCCTCTAAGAAAGAGAATTTACTGAGTAATTGTAGCTTAACGATATTAGTTTAATTTCAGCACCTCATTTAAGATTTTTTAAATCACCTAAGTGTTCAATTCTCAAGTCCAAAAGGATGAATTTGAATTTCCTTTGATTTTCTTCGTATTCTCTTTATTTTCTCTAACTTTTGCTTCTAGCTCTCAAGAAGAAAGTTTCTCTCTGACTCTCTCTGTTCTTCTCCATCCTTCTCCATTTTGTTTTAGGAACTAATTAGCCTAGCCAACTAATTGTTTCATTAGCTTAAGTGGCTAAGTTTAACTCAAACTAGTTTTGTTTAGCCTCTAAGAAAGAGAATTTACTGAGTAATTGTAGTTTAACGATATTAGTTTAACTTAAGCACCTCATTTAAGGTTTTTTGAATCACCAAAGTGTTCAATTCTCAAGTCCAAAAGGGTGAATTTGAATTCCTTTTGATTGTCTTTTTACTTTTTTTTTTTTTGTTTTTCTATAACTTTCTATTCTAACTCTCAAGAAGAAAGTTTATCTCTAGCTCTCTCTGTGCTTCTCCATCATTCTCTTTTGTTCTAGGAACTAATTAGCTTAGGCAACTAATTGTTTCATTAGCTTAATTGGCCTTTAACTCAAACTAATCTTGCTTAGCCTCTAAGAAAGAGAATTTTTAAGTAATTGTAGCTTAACGATATTAGTTTAACTTAAACATCTCATTTAAGGTTTTTTTTAAAATCACCTAAGTGTTTAATTCTCAAATCCAAATGGATGAATTTGAATTCCTTTTAGCTTTTTTCCCATTTCTCTTTTCTTTCTCTAACTTTCTCTTCTAGCTCTCAAGGAGAAAGTTTCTCTCTAACTCTCTCCATCTTTCTCCATCCTTATCTCTTTTGTTCTAGACACTAATTGGCGTTTAAGTGGTCACATTTAACTAAAACTGATCATGGTTAGCCTCTAAGAAAGAGAATTTACTTTGTAATTCTATTTTTAACGATTTGAGTTTAACATAAGCTTCTCATTTTAGTAATGAATTGAGTTCTAGTAGACAAAAACTCGACTTGATTAGACTCGTAAACGCAAAATAAAATGAATTAATACTTATTTTTAACAATATATCAAATAATTGTTTTATTAATTTGTTTAATTTTTATTTGTGTTTGGTATCTGTGTAAATTTATATATTTAATTGATAAAATTTGTTATTAATATAAGCATTATTTTATGTTTTGCTTATAATTTATCGTTTTTCTCTTAATTTGTAAATTAACTAAAGTATGCCCATGCCTGAAGGCACGGTGAAAATATTATTGAAAAGAAAATGTAAATGAAATGATTTTAATATTTTAAACAAACAATAAAATGTAAGTTGCACAACACAGAAACATATAATAAAAATCAGATTAAATACACCAGCTAGTGCTTTGCAATAAACAAAAATGAACAGCAAATTAAGCACACCAGCCAATACTCTGCAATACAAATAAAATGCCAAATAACAAACTAAGCACATTAACCAATATTCTACAATACAAAAAAAAGGGTTAATAACAAATTAAGTACGTCAATCAGTGCTCCACAATGGAAAAAAATGACAAATAAATAAAGCACATCAGCCGTGCTTTGCAATTCATAAAAAATGAAAAAAATTGTGAAATGAACAATTATTTTAAAAGATTAATACGTACACGATCCAATCATATATTAAAATAAATTATCAACTTAATATAAAAGCAACACCCTTCCTGATAAATTTATATATGGATCAAAATATTAAGATAAAATTCACCTTTTTACAAAATAAATTTCACACATTTTTAGTATGAACTATGAATGATTCTTATGAATAATGTTATCTTTCTCATTATGCAGGATGTCCACTGTACAAGAAACCAATTCCAAAAACTTTTAATTCTTTTTTTTTTTTTTTCCTTTTTTTTGAAAAAATTATGTATTTAAGAACCTATTTATTGTATTTTAAAAATTTATTTATGTTATATTTTGTTCACAAATTTGCTAAATTATCTATACAATATACTTACAAAGGGATGCATTCTTTAGTATATACTTACAAAGGGATGCATTGTTTAGTATATTTATTCTAAAGTTTGTTCTTTATATTATAAGTAACAAACACTTTTAAAAACTAGGCCTAGTTTGGGAAGACTAAATAAGTGCACTTTTTGACTTTTTTTTGTATTATGTGTAGAAAAAATAGAGAGGAGATGTTGATTGATGTGACCCAAAAAAGATAAAAAGATGAAATAAGTACACTTTTTTCTTTGTAGCCAAACTTGGCCTAATTACAATAGAATAGATTAGAGAAAAATCACTTGCACCTACTAAAAAGTTTGGGAAGTGTAAAAAAAGTCAAAAAATCAAAAAATTACTCAAAAAGTTAAAAAATTATCGCTATTCACCAAAAGTAAAAAATTACGACTGTACAACTCCCAATCATAATTTTCCCTTACACACTAATTTATATAATTTTTTGATACATATTTTTTTCATAAAAAGTCAAAAAGTTAACCCAAACATCTATATTTTTTTCCTCAATTTTTTAATCTAAAAAGATAAAAAGTGCACTTATTTAGAACACCCCAAACAACTCTTAAAATAATTAAAAATTTATTATAATATTTTTTATTTATATATTTTTACATAAAAATCTGATAAAATAAAAGGGATTTTTTTTTAGGGTCCCTGATATTAAAATTTTATAGTATAAAGGACATTTAATATTTTCATAATGTCTAAGGCCTTATAAATTTCTAAATTAAAATAAATTACAGTGACCTCTTAAAAATTGTACCGAACAACAATTTAGGCCATGGACTGAATAAGGGATGTTGTTTTCCTTTGACCTCATTTAAGAATAAATTATTTTAATAATTTTTTAAATAAATTATTTTAATAATTTTTTAATTTTTTAAGAAAAGATTTAAAAAAAATGTAATAATTTATAATATATATATTTTTAATTTTTTAACTATAAAATATATGATTTGAATTACTAAAAATAGGCCTTAAATCCTGGCCACTGGGCCGGCCTCACGGCCGGAATCCACCGCCAGCACGTAGCCGAAGTTATCGAAACGCCCCTAAAGCGGAATTTAAGAAATGCCAACAAGTCCTTTGCTTTTATTGAAAGGGGCGTGTTGGGCAAGACAATCATTTCCTACGCCGTTTCTCTCTCCTGCCCTAATCCTTGATCCCCAAAAGCTACTGCCAAGTAGTAGTAGCAGCAGCAATAATAGAGAGAGAAACTTTGGAGAGAAAAAGTGTAGCAGGGTTAGGGCAATGCCTTGTTCTTCATCTGATGACAATGGGGCTTTGTGTAATTTCAAGCTAAACGAGTCCACCTTCCTAGCTTCTCTCATGCCGAAGAAAGAGATTAAGGCCGATCTTTTCATCGAAGCTCACCCGGACTTCGATGGCCGTGGCGTTGTCATTGCTATATTTGGTACGGTCTTTCAATTCTCAGCTTTCTGCTCTGATCAGTGTTTGTTTCCCGAGAAAAAACTGAAAAAGAAACGTTTAATAGTTTTGATTTCTTATCTTCGAGTGTTTTGGTTGAATTTATTTCGTCCATTTTCTCTGCTCTGATTTGTGTACCAAAAAATTTGAACAAGTTTTTCAATTCAATGCATTCAAGATTATTTTCTTTCCCTCTCAGACTCAGTTCACAGATTAAAACTTATATGTCTGTCACTTATGTTATTCTGTTTTCCCTCTCAGCTCAGGCTGTCATAGCTTCAAATCATAAAGTTGGAAGTTATGATTTGATATATTCCCCCAAAAAATATGTTTAAATAATAAACGTACAGATATATTTTGGTCATTCTGGCAATGACATTTTTGCGATTATGAATCATGGTGATGAGCTTTTTGATTTCCAATGAATAAATATAAATAGGCTACATCATTCTGTTTGTAGTTTTTGTGTAAATTTTATTTGTATAGCATTATCCCAAAATATTTGATATGTGTGGTGTGTGTGCGCGTGTGTGAATGTCTATGTTTTTTCTTTGGATGCTCAAGTCAAAGATCATTGCTGTAATTTGAGCTCATCTGTTTTTATGCTGCTAGATATATGAATGGGATGAGCTTCTATATTGTGTTGCTAATGCTAAAAGCTTTGAAATCAATTTGTAAAGTGAATCAAAGTGGGCTGTACTGCTCAACTGGTTTATTTATCTATTTTTTGTATTATATCTATGTGGTAAAAACGCCTATTTTTCCAGATTCTGGTGTGGACCCTGCAGCTGCTGGGTTGCAAGTTACCTCAGATGGGAAGCCAAAAATTCTAGATGTCATTGATTGGTACCTTCTTTTGGATAATTTCAAGAAACACGAGAATCATTTTTTTTGTTTGAAATAGCTCTAATTAGGGGAATTTTTTTTTCCTTTAAGCACTGGGAGTGGTGATATTGATACTTCAAATGTCGTGAAGGCTGATGCAGATGGTTGTTTATGCGGAGCTTCAGGTAAGTTACTTTGAATATTTTGTAGCACAATGATATTAAAGCATGGATGTTTGCTTGAAGCTTGTCAACATGGTTTATTTTTTCCTAATTACTAGTTGACCCTTCACGAAGGAATGTGGAGGGTTGATATTAGTAAGGATATCAATCAATTAAACTTACAAAATAAGACTTTTAATTGGTAATCTTCTTGTTTATTGTCTTGTATCAATTGGGAGAACTAAGTTGCGTTCATGTTCTTTTTTTGGCTTCTAAATGACACTCCTTAATTTTTTGTAATCATCTCTGCTTTGGGCTTTTATGGTGTCATGTTGATTTTCCTTACTTCTTATTATTTATTTAAGGAAAATGTTTGAGACCGACAAAAATCTCCCACAATTTGACCTACAATGACTTGGTATGATAGATGTCAACTTTTGATTCGTTACACACCCAATGATAAAAGACTCGACTCTCTTACCACATCATTGTGGTGAATTTGTGGGTCTCTAGCATTGCTCTTTATTTAAATGGTGTGCAATAGTGAGAATTTTGCAAATTGTTGAACGTCCTTAGGGCATGGTAGAAAGTGTCATTTCAACCTAGATCTGACACTTTTCCCTTTGGTATAGTGCATCTAGGGCTGAACTTAGGTACAATATAATAATCAGTATTTTTGCACATTGTTCAAAGACCCGACAATAATTGAGGCAAGAAGTCAATCCAGCAATCACCTAAAGTACGGAAATAAAAGAAGGAAAATGTTAAGCCTTGGTGAACATTATAAAATGTATTGAGATGTATGAAAAGGGTATATAATAAGTGAAAGTGCTTTGGGATGTGTAAAAATACCTTGAGATTCTGACTTTTTCAAGGCATTTTCCTCCCCCTTGACAGTCTAAAGTCACTAGCATGACCTATAAAAGAAATGCTAATGCAAACCGAAATTATTTGGGCTTTACGCCTTGCTAAGTTTTTTGGGCAATTGAAGCTAAAAATAGGGATACTGATGGTTGTGGGTGGAACAATGGTGTTAGGAATTTGGATGACACAATGATGTGGAATGACTTTTGGAAACTTGTAATGTAGCAGTCTACAATTGGGTTTCAATTTTGAAAGTTTGCAGGTTTAGGACCTAAATTAGTTGACGGAAGCTTACAGGTTTTAGAGATTAAAGATAGGTGGGAATTCGCTTTGTTTTGAAGTGATTGGTTAATGGCTTTCAGAAATTTTAATGCTGGAAGCACCAAAAGAACCACTTAATTAAGATTTTTGCTGTTAAATTGCAGGCCAATACATAGAGAAAGGATTAACATGAAGCCAAATTATGTAGTTTCTGCTTGAAAAAAAAAAAAAAAAAAAAAATAGTTTCAACTCTTGTGAATAGACTGATTACATACATATTTATGAGCTATTGGATTTCTTCTAATTCTACTGCGACCAAGACTACCAAATAGATAACTTTGTTTCTTTGAGCTCCAAACTACCCTAAATCTTGTATAGACCACATGTGAGATCGAAAAACATAAACTTGGCCCATAGTATGACCTATGACCCAAACTATAGTGCATTTTTAGCCAAGGAAGCATGGATACAGGTATGGGTATGATACGATATGGCGATACGTCAAAATCTAAAAAAGTAGGATATGGCTACGACGGATGTACGTTCGTAAAAAAAATTAATTTTTTTTAAAATTTTAATAATGTAATATGCATGGAAATAAAACTTAAGATAAATTAATAAATAGATAAATAGAGGGATTCCTATTAAGTCAAGAGTTTTCAAACATTCATGAAACATCCAAAACTAAAAGTAAAAGTAAATTAAACATTCATCCTTACATGTCAACACCAAAAGCAAATTAAATTAAATTAATTACTAATTTAATTTAAATTTAATGGCTTCTACCTTAGGAGAATTTTTCATCATATTAGACAACCTAGCTTTTAAAAGAAAAATTAATAATATAAAATGAAATAATGAAAATTTATGATGGAAATTACAATGAAACATTCAAACAGTGTAGGGTAGGGAAAAAAAACTTAAATTAGATAAACCGACAACCTAATAGATAAGGGGAAAAAATAAAAAAAGTAGCATCAGCAACGTAATAAATAAGGGAAAAAAAAAAATCAAGAAGCGTGACAGAGGAGTGAGAGGGAAAGACAAAAAACGAGAGCAAGAGAGAGAGAAGAGAACGAGAGACAGAGAGCGGCGAGAGAGACAGAGAAAGAAAACGAGAGAGAAACCTGTTCTTGTTGTCGGTGTGGTCGATTGAGCAGAAGAAACCAGAGATTTTTGCTTCACCGCTTTTTTGATTTGTGGATTTGAGGTTAGGATTTCTCTTCTTCTCTATGTTTTTTGATTTTGGTTCATGTGGATGTGTATTTGAAGGATGTGATTTGTTTTATTTTCAATTTTACTTCTTTATTTATGGTTTGACCCACAAATTTTTTTTGAAAATTACGTTTTTTGCCCCATGTATCCCAAAAGTATTCGGAATGTATCTCCCACGTATCTATGCGTATTCGAAATTCAAAAAAATAAAAAGTTGGGATATTTTTTTGCCGTATCCAATACGTATCGTGTATCGGACACCTATCCGTATCCGATACTCGTACACGGCCTATTTTGGAGCATCTGTGCTTCATAGTTTACAACAAATCTTAAAATTACCATGCTACGCTTCATTACTCAATTCTGATATCATAAAACATAAATAAATTTTTCTGGCAGCATAGTAACTTGTATTAAACTTAGGGTTGGTTTGGGAAAAGGCTATTTTAATAACTTTTTTGGCTTTTTGACTAAAATATGTGGTGAAAAATATTGGGTTGCGTTTGGTAGAATTTTGTAAATATAATTTGTGAGTATGAGTTGTATTTTGAGTTTGTGAGTTGTGGAATTATGATTTGAGTGTAGAAAATTTGTTTGGTTATGGTTTTTGAATAGAGTGTTGAATTTATTTTTAAAACTCATAACCAAACACATAATTCGAAACTCCATACTACTTTCATAACTCTACACTTAAATCGTAACCAAATACATAACAACAAAATTAAAATATTTAAAAATATTTTTACATAATAGAGTTTGAATTTATTTTTATAAAATATTTTAAATTTTAAAAAATTAAAATCATAATATTTTGAAATTAAAATATTTAAAAATATTCAAAAAATTAAAAAATTAAAAAAATCGTAACATATTTAAATATTAAAATATTTAAAATCTTAACAAAATTAAAATATTTTAAAAATATTTAAATATTTAAAATCTTTAAAAAATTAAAATATTGATTTGAATTGAGTTTTGAATTATTTGTTTGGTTATGAGTTTTGAAAAGTAATGATTATGTTTTGAATTGAGTTTTGAGAAATGGGTGTAGAATTATGATTTGAAAGCTTAAAACAAACAATACACTCAAATCAATGGGTGAAACTATAATTTGAGAAACTTACCAAACGGAGCCTTGGTATGTCTGTGATATTTTTTGGCTTTTTAAGAAAAAAAAGTGCAAAAAATAGAGGCAAGGGAATCTTTTTGACTTTTTTGTATAGCTCCTTGGTTATTTAGCTTTTTTGGTATTTTTTTTAGCTCTTTGGCTATTTTATTAACTTCCCAAACTTGCCCTTAAAATTTAGTCTCATACTGACATTAAAACTAATTGCATAAGGTCCCATGCTAGGAAGCATAGATACGGATATGGATATGGTGATATGGTAAAACTTTAAAAAAGTAGGATACGAGTACGGCGATGATATGTTTGTAAAATAATTTTTAGTAATGTAGTATTTATAAAATAAAACATAATGCAAGAGTACATTCATAAAATATTCAGTGCTAAATTCCTTAATATCAATTTTATATTCATCAAAGAGCAATCAATTAATAACCAGGCATATTGACCAAGAATTAACAACAAACAATAACAGAGGATTCGAACGAATATTCAAGGAAATTTAAAGAACAAGAATAAGCTAACAAGATTAAGCAATGATAACAATAGCACTAAGTTATAATCGTCCACTTACCCAAAAAGTTATAATAGTCTCGTTTTGTAGCTTGAATTTATTTTGGCCTAAGTGGCTCGACTGCCCAAAATGACGTCGTTTTGGGCAATGTTTTTTTTTGTTTTTTTGTTTTTCCTTTTCTCTGCAGATGAAGAGGAAGAAGAAGAAGGAGGAGGAGAGAAGAGGGAGCTGTGTGAGAGAGAGAGAGCATATCATCATCATCATCAACAACGTATCATCATCAACAACAACAAACAGAACAGAGAGAGAGATAGATCTATACACATCATCATCAGCACACGCAGAGAGAGAGAGAGAGATCTATACACACACAGAACACAGAGAGAGAGAGAGAGAGAGATCCATACAGAGAGAGAGAGAGAGATCTACATACACACACAGAGAAAGACATACACATATCTGTGTATCTATGTATGCACAGATCTTTTGATGATGGCGTCGGTGATGGCGGTGATGGCGCGGTGATGGTTCCTCTCTTTCGTCTCTTCTCTCTTCCTCTCCTTTTCTTCTCCTCCTCTCTTCCTCTTTTCTCCTTCTCTCTCTTTTTTCTGTCTCTTTGTATTCGAAAAGCAAGAAAAAGAAAAAAAAAGAAAAAAAGAAACCCAAAACGAATCGTTTTGGGTTTCGAGCCAATTTGAGCTAATGAATTTCGAGCTACCAAGGATTATTCAAGTTGTAATATCAGAAATTTAAAAATAAAATAAAACAATAATAGAAAGAAGTTAAAAAATAGAAACAAATGTGATTTTTTTAACACATGAATGAGTAGCCCTTGTAGCAAAGCTATTGTGGAAAATGGGCTATCACAAGGGATTAAATAATGACAATACAAGCCCCATAGAATATGGAAGAGACATAAAATAAGAACAAAAATTGAAAAAAAAATAGATACTTATTTGGTGTATTAAAATATAAAAAGTAAAAAATTGGAAAAAAATTAAATTGGATACTTATTTGGCATATCTCTCACGTATCGTGCCGTATCCT